ACGCCTGCGGATAGGCAGCGAATTAATCACAACGTACGTATAGGCTATGCTATGCTATGCTATGCGATGCTGCGCTATACTGCGCTGCGCTATGCTATGCAATGATATGCTATGCTGCGCTACGCAGTGCTGCGGTATCTTATGGATGGTCAACCGAAGGTCCCCAACTTTCGGGGACCCAAGATTACATCATACGTATAGGCTGTGGTATGCTATCCTATGCTGTGCTGCGGTATGCTGCGCTGCGCTATGTTATGGATGGTCAACCGAAGGTCCCCAACTTTCGGGGACCCAAGAGGGCCCCAAAAGTGCTCCAAGAAGCCCTCCTCTTCTTCTTCCTCTGCCTCTGCCTCTTCCTCTTCCTCTTCGTGTTCACTCTCCCCCACTTATTCCCCGAAGGCTGTCCAAACCGACTCGGGGAGCACACGGTCGAATAGCTTGGCCAAGCTCTGGCCCATCTTTCGGCCACATATTAGGCGTTTCCAGAAAGGCAGGGGGCGGGGGTCATTCGCCGCAGGCGTCTGAGATAGCAACTCTCAACATTCGTTTCGGAGCACCCCCGTCCTGCCAACACTAATAGACACAACAGAAGCAAAAAGGTAGACAGCATGGAGGGGAGTCAAGTGAGGGGACGATGGATGGCAAGCGCAAGAGCTTAGAAGGAAACACATCGGGCTACTTCCTATGTACCAATGCCATTCTCTTTCTCTATGTTTCCTCCTCTCTCTGGCTCGTTCCCTCTTTCTTTCTCTATCTCTCTCTCTCTCTCTTGTCTCTCTCTCTCTCTCTCTCTCTCTCTCTCTCTCTCTCTCTTTGTTCGCCTATATGTATGATGCACGCTTAGGTCTACACTTGCGATGTTCAGTTATGATGCGGTTCTCGCCTTTATATATATATATATATATATCGTTATGCTCTCTCTCTCTCTCGTTATGCTCTCTCTCTCTCTCTCTCTTCTCGGTCCCCTTGTGTCTCTCCTTGCTTCTCCCTCTCTGCTTCTCCTCTCTTGTTCTGTCCGCTGGGAGTACGGAGAGGGGAAGGCTCCCAGGCGCGCTCAGACGCTTCCAGGCGCTCTCAGGCGCTCCCAAGCGCTCCTGGCGCCCCCAAGAGATCCCAGGCCTTCCCACGCGCTCCCAGGGGCGTCCAGGCGTTCCACGCGCTCCCAAGCGCTCCCAGCGCTCCCAGGCGCTCCCATGCGCTCCCAAGCGCTCCCATTCGTTGTACATACAACGAGGGGACATCTGATCTTTATGGCAGGGTGGTTTGCGGGTGGGACTGGCGGCCACCGCAGGCGGGCTCCTAGGCAGGAGGGGATCAGCTGCGGCAAATGGTGGATCGGCAAATGCCTCGTACTTTGGCACCATCGAAGCTCCCTTTTGGGGGTACTTGTTCTGGACTTTGCACCTCCCTCACGTCCACCATCATTTCTTGGAGCGGGGGGGGCCAACATTTCAACGTCCTTGCTTGGCCGCCGGGCGCCCCCAACCAGCCACCCCGCTTGGAAACGCGAAGCAGCTGCTCTGCCTAAGCTTGACGGCGACTCTGCTGCCGTCGCCGCCGCAGCTGCGTGGCATCTGGTGATCCGCAGGCAATGCAAGACACCCGTCATGGAGACGGGCGCGACCCAAGACAGCACCAGCAGACCCCCTGGGGGAGGTCACGACGGCCCGCGGTGGCCCCGAGGGTTCCCAAAGAGCCCCAAGACGGCCCAACGCTGTCCCAAGAGGCCCCCAAGACATCCCGACAGAACCCCAGGACACGCCCAACGAAGCCCAAGACAGCCAAGTGGAAGCCCCAAGAGAGGCAAGAAGAAAATCACAATACTAAGAACGGCGTGGAAAAATGGGGGAATGACAACGGGACAACGGGGGAACGGAGGGAGGGGGGAGGTCGACGAAGACGACGAAGGAACCCGCCCCGAAACGATGCGGAGGAGAATATCGCGCGCTGCGGCCCTTGCACGGGCAATTCTGGGCGGCGATCTGTCGCGTGGCACGGCGCCTTAAAAGGGGCTCGGGAACTCGTCGCGCGCCACGCCGCGCGCGGGACTTGCTGCGAGCAGCCCGGCATAACGTAATTAAATGCCCCCCCTCTGCACGCGCAGCCGCCTCGCGCGTGATCCGTCGACGAGGGCGCGCGCCCTCCACGGGCCGACGGGGCCCTCCGCTTTTTGGAGATGCGCGCGGAGAGAAACCGACGCAAAAACACGAGGGGCAGGGGACAGGGACGATCGAGGTCAGGTGAGGGGCGAGCGGGGGGGGACAGGGACGAGCGAGGTCAGGCGAGGGGCGATCAGCTCGCGAGCAGCGACCCCTCCAACAAAAACGTGGCAAACGCCGGCGCTGGACGGCCAACCACTTTGTGTTCGTCGGCGGCGCGAGGCAGAGCTGGCTGCACCAACGACAGCGCCAAACGGGGGCACCGGGAAGCGAGCTGGCCAGCGTGCAAGAGCGAGGAGAGGACAGACGAGGCGGCCGCGGAGGGGAGGGGGGGGGAAGCAAGGGCCACTCAGAGGCGGAGGAGTTCTCACCAGAGTGTGCTGGCGCGGCGAGGCGCTGCACGAACAAGCACGGTACGGAGCGGCCCTCCTGATGCTGGGCGCGCCGCCAAGGCGGGAAACGGGGGGCGGGGGCCCCCCGCACCCAGGGGGAACGAGCCTGGCGGCATGCCAGGCGTCGTCTCGCAGAGGCGCTCTGCCCGCACGGAGCGCCGTCTCGCAGAGGCGTCTCGCAGAGCCGCTGCCGGGGGGTCGCCTCGCAGAGGCGCGCTCTGACCGCACGCGGTGAGCGCGCACCGCCGCGCAGCAGCTGCGCAAGATCACGCCGCGCGGAGCAACGGCCGCGCGGGGGGGCACCCCGCCCAGGGAAGACCCGTGCCGCTGGCGAACGGAAAGGACGTCTCGCGACGCCTAACGTTTCAACAGGGACCGGCCGTCCCGGCATTCCTATAGGCCTAGCACGGATGTTCTTAGAACCCCAAGCTGTTTTAATAACAAACGCCATGTTTTAGAACATAAGCCCGATGTGTTAAAACAAGTCGGACTCAGCCAGACATGTTCTAAGAACATTTCGCGCAGACCACAAAAGGTTCTTAGAACATTATGTGGTAGGCCTAGAGGCGAGCTAGGACGCATCGCCACTCCTTGCGGGCATGTCCTCCTATAAGTGGATTTCGGGCGAAAAAAATTCAACATAGTTGAACCCATATTCGAAAATGGTCCAGCATAGACAAAACATCGTCCGCATACTAAGTTTTTATTATTTTGGGATTCCTCCTGTAGAGGGACGTGCCCGACTTAAGCATAAAGTAGTGCTGCAATGCCGCAACGACCACGTGGCGGGGTCCTGGAAACCCCCAACCCACCAACTTTTTCATCTCTTTGGGGCGCACATTTCACTTCCGCCGCCCTCCGCCGCCCTCCCGCCGGCTTCCGCCGGCGGAGGCGGCCATGTTTTACTTCCTCCGACCGTCCGCCGCCCTTCCTCCGCCTTCCACGGCGGAAGAGATGACAACTCTTTCGATCCTTGAAGGCAAGGCCCTCTCTGGAACGCCCCACATTGCTTCTGACGCGAACTCCCCTGACAACGCGCGCGCCATGGCAAACGGGCCACGCCGCGCACGATCGCCACTAGGTCTCGTGCAAGCACGTCGAGGGGAATCTCCGCAGGGAGCGCGCTGCAAGTGGCAAGGCTTCAACCTGACGCAAAAACGCTGCGAGAGAAAGAAAGCACTCGCCAACGGCAGCCGCAATGCAGAAACAACCGATAACAAATATGTTCTTCAAACAGGTCCAAAACTTTCGGATGCGGTGGCTTCTAGGGTGGTCAAGAAATATCATTAGGTCCCTCAGCCTTCACTATGAATATTGAAGGTGCACTTTGAGGTCCTGGGGCGTAGATCCCTGGACCTCCTGCGCGCTCTCGTGCGCTCCTGGGCCTCCCAGATGCGACTTTTACCACGGCGTAGGGAGCGTGGTTGGGAGTCTGCACTTCACACGGGTCCTACGATGGCCACGCGGGACCGGACTGTCCTGGGGCGCCCTTGGAGGTCTCTTGGGCCGTCTTGGAGGGCCTGGGGTCCGGTCCGAGAGGCAACATTCATGAAGCATTGGAAACATGATGTTCGCAAGCTCGCAACTTGGATCCTCGAAACGCTCATGACGAGCCAAGAGGCCATCAAGACCCGCCCAAGAGTGCCCTCGAGGCCCTCAATAGGCCCTCGAGCCCCGAGCTGCCCTGTGGAGTCCTGCATCCCAAGGGCCCCCGATTCAGCGAGAAGGCTCCCAAGCGGCCCCCAGCACATGCCGCCAAGAGGCCCAGAAAAGGCACTCAAACAGCATCCAACATGTTGTTTCTTGTTTTTTGCTCCCACGACCCAAGCAGAATCGTGGGTTGGGCCGAAGGCCACTAGATTCGGCGTGCCGGATTTAACAGGCAGACGGTTCAGCTCCCAGCGGGGGACCCATCGCAATAACCGAAGCGCATAGCGTCCCAGAAGCTCGCTTGGGCCGTCTGGGGGGCCCTCGGGGTCGGCGCACCGAGCCCACGCCTTCGGAACGCCCCAGGCCTGGCGATGCCTTTTCGGACCTTCGCCCCTGCAGGGCTCGCAAGACGGCCCGCAGAAGCCGTAGGCCAAGCCACGGCCTCGAGAAAGAGAGCCCCGACACGGCCCGAGGGCCTCACGGCGGCCCCGCGGGGGCCCCTAAGGCCGGCCTCCGCAGGCGCCGGGAGGGCCAAAGACTTCGGGCCCGACGGCGCCCCTCCCCAAGATGCCCTCGATGGTTCTCTGCACAGCTGGGCGAACACGCAGCCCATTTGCGATGCGGTGGCTCGCTGTATGTGTTTTCGATGTGGCGAAGGGGAACCACCAGCTGGGCAGAAGAAAACAAGCAAGAGAGAGAACAGCAAAGTGGGGGATGCCTTGCTCACGGTGCATCATTATCCTTCCCCTCCTCCTCCTCCTCCTCCCCCTCCTCCTCCTCGTCGCTTCATGCCGCACGCCTTGAAGAGCCAGCACCGCATGTCGGTCCGCTTCGAAGCGGCTTGCTCCACCGTCGCAGCAACTTGCTCCACCGCCCGCTTGGACATGCCCGTCGATATCTTCGAGGTGCGGTGTCCAATGCTCCTCCGGGCGTGCCACCTCAGACAAGGCTGGGGTAGACTTGGATAGGGACGGAACGCAGGGCAATGCTAGAGAGGAGCGACAGATGAGAAAAACGAATGTGGAGGGTAGCATTTAGCAGGGGAGGTGATGATGGTGGTGATCAACTACAAAACGGATTCAGAAGGCTGCTCAGGCAGCCTTCGAGCGCCCACAGAAGCCACGTCGGGTAACGACGCCGCCACCAACAACTCGGACAAGGCGCGCCGTGATGATGCTGATGCTGATGATGAGGATGAGGATTATGGTGATGATGGTGATGGTGATGATGATGAGGATAATGATGCTGGCGATGGTGATGATGACTGTGGTCGTGGTGGTGTCAATTGAGTGATGCTTAGCAAGGTCAGGACGGGGAGTAAGCAGGGAGGACGGAATAGAGGGATGACGAGTTAGAACGATGAGTGCAATAGGAGGAACGGGAGGACGAGAGAGGGTGAGGGCAAGCAGGGGGGCCAAGAGGAAAATGAGAGGCGGCGGAATGGGGAGGATCATGATGAGTGATGATGGGGATGAAGAAAACATGGAAGATGAGAAGGGAGATGGCGATCAAGATGAGCAAGGACGAGGTGGAGATGGAGGAGGAGCATGGCAGAGAAGTAACGGGGGAAGGAACGATGCTCGTGACGACTATGATAGAAGTGGTGATGGTGGTAATGATGATGCTGATGATGATTATGATGATACACATGATGATGCTGGTGATGATGTTGTTGATGATGACGGTGATGATGATGAGGATGATGATTCTGATGATGATGCTAGTGATGGTACTGTTGAGGATGCTGACCAAGGTGATGAGGATGATCATCGTCATGATCGCAATGCTGACGATGATGATGATGCCGACGCTGATGTTGGTGATGATGATGCTGATGGTGATGTTGTTGCCGTTGCTGATGCTGCTGATGATGGTGGTGATGGTGATGCAATTGCTGATGATGCTGATGATGATGATGATGCTACTGACAATGCATCCAGCCAATCATACTGCTAGAGAGAGAGAGAGAGAGAGAGGGAGGCGTAATCCAGGCTTGGCCGCAAGCGCAGCAGGAAGTGAATGAGAGACAATTGTTTGGAAACACCCGCGCGAAGTGCCACCGCATGCTGGCAACGCATGAGCACGCACAACACGAACACACGGCGCACATCGAGAGACGACGTCATGAACAACACATGGTCTCGCGAATGACCCGACCATATGCAGCTGCGAGTACCGCAAGACGCATTGAAACTAAGGGAAAGGGCTAGCAAAGGTCTACGGCGTGCGCAGAAGGGCGGAACGGCATTGCAACGTAACCCGTCACGGCTGATCTGAGCGTCTGTCGGCCCAGCCCTGGGGAGCAACAGGGCTGGTCCGAGGATCAGCAGGCGGCGGGGCCATTGGTGAAACTCATATGGGGCCACAACCGTGCGAGGGGTGCGTGCGTGTGTGTGTGTGTGTGCCAAAACGGATGCGGTCACGCACGCGATTCCTGCCGATCGGGCATTCGGTAGAGCTTCTTAGGGGGCCGCAAACGGTGCGAAGGGTGTGGGGAAATAGGCGCGGTCACGCATGTGATTCCCGCCTCTGGGGCCTTCGGCGGAGCTCCCTATGGGGCCACGAAAAGTGCGAGGGGCGTGCCGAAATGGGCACGGTGCCGAAGTGTCTTGAGGAGGGCATGAGGGCATAGCCCCTGGGTCCTTGCGGCACGTCAAGTGTGAGGGGTGCGCCAAGGTGGGGTGGCAGCGGCATGCGGGCGCAACCACGGGGGCCGCAGGTGGAGCTCTCAATTGGGGCCAGGAAGCGTGTGAGGGATTTTCTAGAGTAGGATGGCTTCGGCATGCGGGCGCAACCACTGAGGCCTTCGGTGGAGCTCCCTATGGGGCCACGAAGCGTGTGAGTGGTGTGCCGAAGCAGCTGCAAAGGATGGGAGGTGGAGGGCAAGGAAAAGGGAATGAGGGAGGGAAGCCGACCGGCGAGGCTAATTCAAAACGAGGACCCAACTCAACGCAACATGGTTGGGAAATGCAACATCGTTAACAAAAAAATGGCTGGAGTCCTGAACCCCACCTGCTGCATTCTCCGAGCAGGATCGATCCGTGAGGGCCCAGGGCCCGCAACAAGGCAACATCGCCCTATGGGGAGAATGCGACGCCAGGATCGCAGAACACGCGCTGAAACGCGCGCGCGCGCAGCCACTCGTCGCGCAGCAGCAGCGAAGCCACGGGCCTCGGACCACAGCAGGAGGCCGTGGACGACGACCTGCTGCGACTCACGCATGGCGCCACCGAGCTCTCGCCGAGGCAGGTCACGCTCCTGGCCTCTCGCGAGGGGCTGAACGACCTCTGCGGATCCTCAGCTGGGGCTGGATCTTACACGCTTTCTCCGCATTTCCCAGGAGATCTCCGGAGCCACGTGGTTGCACGTGGGCTTGCATCGAACTGGATCGTGCCGACTAGTTTTATGTTCGAGGAGCAACGGCATAAACATCATGTCTCGGAGATCCGCGCGGACTGCTTTGAGCGGCGCTGGACCGCCTTCCCTGGCTCGGGCGCCGCCACGGGGGCCCCAGCGAATATCCAAGAAATCCGCGCCGATTAGTATGTTTACGCATCGCGAGGAGGCATCCGAATCTTCGTCCCGATGTGTTGTTTGATCACGGTCACGGGGCCCCGCGAGGGCTCCCAAAGGCCGAAATTGAAAAGAAACCTCCCTTCGTGACTGTTCCACGACGAGAGGCGGTGGGAAAGCATTTTTTATTCGCGGTGATGCTGGGCGTTATGGTCGGGGAGGGGGGGAGGCATAACGCAACACACACACACACCGCCAAGGAGGGATGTGAAAGATGGAGCGGGGCACAACGAGCGTTGTGGCCCAGAGGTTGAAACAGAAACGCTCTCTGGGGGCACCGCGCGCCCTGGGCCAGACGACGAGCAGAGGCGGGGGTACCACGCGCCCTGGGCCAGACGACGAGCAGAGGCGGGGGTACCACGCGCCCTGGGCCAGGCCCTCCGCGGTCTGGGCCGTATCGGGCGCGTCCGCGACCGCGCAGTGACCGCCCAGGCGGCGCTGGCACCGCCGCGCTGCCGCCGGGCACGGCGGCGGGGGGGGGGAAGCGGCAGCCGCTGGCTCGCACACCGGCTGCCCGACGTCCTCGGCCCGTCGCGCCTGCCCAGTCTGGCCCGGCACCAGAAGCAAGGCCCCAGGGACGGTGCCCAGGCCTGCAGCCTGCGAGGGTCGACGTCGCGAAGAATGTCACGACGGCGGAGCTCAAGGGTCGGGCGGCCCAGCTGCTGCCTCGCTGCGGCCTCGGCAGCAGGCAGCACCCCCGGAGGCACAGGACTCGGCCAGTGCAGGAGCAGCACGGGGAGGGAAGAGGAGGAGGAGGAGGAGGAGGAGGAGGAGGAGGAGGAGGAGGAGGAGGAGGAGGAGGAGGCACCCCTGGAGGCACAGAACTCGGCCAGTGCAGGAGCAGCACGGGGGGGGGGCTGAGCACGGCCGGCAAGGCGAAGGTTCGCAAGGCCAGCCGCCGTGAGAACTCGAGCGCTGCGCTCTGCTTATCTCTGCTCCAAAGGGCGCCGCGGGCACTCTTCCTTCGTGGCCGAAGGGCGCTTCGGGAAGCTAGAATGTGGCCAGTGATGGCCACTGACAAGGACAGGAGGGAGGAGGAGGAAGAGGAGGAGGAGGAGGAGGAGGAGGAGGTGGAGGAGGCGGAGGCGGAGGCGGAGGAGGAGGAGGACAAGGGGGTGAGGAGGGAGGACAGACACGGCCGCCGTGAGAACTCGGGCACTGCGCTCTGCCACACGGCCGCGAAGCGCTGCGGACTCTCGGATCCGAGGCCGAAGGGGCGCCGCGGGCACTCTTCCTTCGTGGTCGAAGGGCGATTCGGGAAGCTAGAATGTGGCCACTGATGGCCACTGACGAGGACATGGGGGAGGAGGAGGACAGGGGGGAGGAGGAGGACAGACACGGCCGCCGTGAGAACTCGGGCGCTACGATCTGCTGCATGGCCGCGAGGCACTGTGGACTCCCTGCTCCGAGGCCGAAGAAGCGCCGCGGGCACTCTTCCTTTTTGGCTGAAGGGCGCTTCGGATGAGGAGGAGGAGGAGGAGGGAATTGGAGGGAAGAGGACGAGGAAGCGGGAGAAGAGAGAGAGAGAGAGAGGGAGGGAGAACAACAACTTATGGGGGGAAAGGCACGCACAGCCGGGGGAGGCTAGGCCCGAGGAGCGGCGGCGGCGGGGCGGCAAGAGCGGCACTCGCGACGCGGGGACACGGACGCCCGACGAGTTGAGATGTGCTCCCATGCGCGGCCCCAGGTTACGATTAGGTCGAGCATGTCCTCCTACAGGCGGACTTTGGGCGAAACAGAAGAAAACATAAAGCTCAAACATAGTCACACACAGTAGAACAACCATGCCCATATGTTTATTAACATGTCTGATTGCATATTCTTCCTGTAGAGGACACGCCCGACTTGATGTTATGAAGAGCATCCAGGATACAAGAATAACAAACTACATTAATATAGACTTTTCAAGATCAGCGCGGATCCAAGAGATCCGCGCGGAGCGCCACACATGTATGTTTATGGCGTGGTGTTTTCTTCGACTGGAGGCCTCGCGCGGCAACTTGAGACCCGATCTACGTCGGATTCACGATGGATTCACGTCGGATTACGGCGGAATTGCATCTGCTCTACGTCGGACTGACGACAGAGCATCGCCGCGCGAACGTCGACCCATAGCTTACGGAGCTGACGTGTGGACTATATAATACACATATTGCGCGCCGCGCGAGGCCTCCAGGATTTTTCCTCATAACCCACGGGTGCAAGCCCCCCTGGGGTAAGACGAAACCAGGGCGAGGACGCATTCGGATGAGGATAAGCCGAGCATCTCTGAGAGCCGGCGGCTCTGGAGGATGTATCGGGCGCCGCGGCCTTCTCAGAGCGTTCCCGAACGCTCTGAGAGCGGTCCGGAACGCTCTGGAACGGATTCGTCCTCGTCCCAACCCTGCACGGTTTCCCCCAGGGCCATAGGCGGCCCGGGGAAGAGGAGGAGGAGGAGGAGGTGGAGGAGGTGGAGGAGGAGGAGGTGGAGGAGGAGGAGGATGAGGAGGAGAAGGACGGGTCGCCTAAGCCCTTCGGAGAAACCCTCCACCCAGCCCCCCAAGGGGCCAACTGCCCGCCCTGGGTCCAGTTTTCTCCAGGGAGGATAAAAACCACCCAGATCCGATGATTGGCGTTTGCTAAAGGGCCCTGGGCGTTTACGAAGAAGCCCTGCCCTGTTTGATTCCTTCTTCGGGTGCGTTCACTAATCGACATCGCGTGTCGGGGTGACTATTCCGAGAGTGGATTTTCTGCTCTCTGAATTTGGACGGTCCCGCCGGCCCCGCAGACCGAACTCGAAGAACAACGCCCCGATTGGAAACAACACGTCGTCGACTATCTGGGGCTGGGGACGGAGCGGCAGCAAGAACGCCGTGGCTGGCGCGCGTCCGGCGAGGGGCGACGGCGGTGGGCCTCTCCCACCAGCCGGCTACCTCGCCATCGCTCGGAAGTCCATTCCCCGTGCATGTCTCGATGTCTTACGAACATGTTTTCCGCAAGATGCTCCAAGACAGGGCTGGACCTGAACGTTGTTGTTCGTTTTATTTTCGTTTTGCTCTACCCGTTCTCCTGTACCTCCCTGCCAAAGCGAAAAACAAAACGCAGCCGAAGTCTAGCAAAACAGCGTTTGGGTCCGGCCCTGCTCCAAGACGCTCCTCGATGGTCCTAGCCCGAAAGATGCACACGTCCGAACGATGCCAGGCTACTCGTAAGAGTGACCCTCGGCAAGAGTGCCTTGTGGATTACTGGGAGACGCTTGGGGGCCAAACCCGGACGCGCAAGCCGCTGCTGCCTCCTCGCGTTCGGCGATGGGGGGACCCCTTGGGCCTGCACCAAAAGGTCACTCTGTCGAAGGGTCACTCTTCGAGTAGGGAATCGACTACAACATTGGCTTTCCCCATCGAACCTACGACTGCGCAGAATTTTCGCAAATATACTGCGAAACCTGATTCAGTTCCCGAAGATTCGACGAGAAAGCAGATCTTGGGGCAAATCACTGCTGTACTCGAGCAGGGGATCGAGTACAGAATTGGTCGAACGTCTGGTCGACCCATCTGGCTCGAGCAGGATCGAGCAGGGGATCCAACGTCTGGTCGACCCATCGGCTCGCCCAGGGCCCCGACCGCTGGCGGCCGCGGGGGCCCTTCCTGGCCCGGTGGCCGGCGGCCCAGGACAACGCCTGCGGGAAAGCGAGCGGAGCTGGCCAGGGCTCGCCGCGCGGAAGGGAAGCGCCTCCTGCTGTTGCAGCTAGTCGGCGCTGATCGACGCGAGTCGACGCTATAAACGGAATCAAAAGGATACACCCGGTATACCGAACCCAGTGGCCGGCGACCTGGAAAAACTACGCGAAAGCGAGCGGATCGGGCTGTGGATCGCCGCGCGGCCAGGGGGCCGCCTCATGTTGTTGAAGCTCCAGGTGGGCGCCAAGGTGAACGCCGTGGAGCGCGCGGACTCGGTCACGTGCAGCGTCCTTCAGCGGGCCCACTCTGGAGGAGGAGCAGGGAGCATCACCACAGGCTTGCGGAAGTCCGCGCGATTTTCCTCGATCGGCGATGGGCCCCCCCGGCGGTGCCTGCTGCGCCGCTCCTGGCGCGCGAAGGCTCCGGCGCGGGTGTTAGACTTCTGCGCGGACCTCTGAAGGACGCGAGCAGAAGGGGCAGGAGAGGAGGGATTCGGGAGGAGCCATTACCCTTAGGTCGGGCATGTCCTCCTACATGGGGATTTTCGACGAAGAGTGAAAAATAGTCAAACAAAGAATCCCAAACATACTCAAAAATAGTCAGGCATCGTCCCCATACTATGCTTTTGCTACTTTTGAATATTCCTCCTGTAGAGGGACAAGCCCGACTGCATATTCATTACCCTGCCCTGCCCTGCCCTCCGCCCCACTGCCCTCGTCCTCCCGTGGTAGATGCCGCCGGCACGGCCACTCCGAGCCATGAGCCGACGGGGGGCTCGAGGCGCACGCTCGGGGCAAGCCCCCCTTTGCCCCCCCGTCAGGCTCCACTGCTGCAGCCAGCCCGCATCGCAAGGATGCGCGACAAGGATGCCAAGGGCCCTGGAAGGCCACTTCGAAGCTTCTCGAGCGGGGCGCGGCCAACAAAAGCGGCTACGGATGGACCGAGGAGGCAAGGATGCTTCAGGGTACACTTGGGAAGGTTGCCCATCCTTGCCATGCGGGTTGACTGCTACAGCGTCCGCCGCAGTGGCTCTTGCTTCCTCTTGCCCAGGGCGGGGGAGTGAATGGTCATTGCACCGGCCTTGCAGACGTGCTTCAGCGGATTTCTGCGTGGAGAATTCTCTCAGCGCAACACCCCGAAATGGCGAGGGGAAGACGACGTGAATGTCATGTGGATTTGTTTCCTCTACGCGCACGAAATTCACTTCGAAATCCCAGACGAAATTCTCCAGGACACTCCGGGCCCACTGGCCCATCCTATTGTTTTCCACTCGAAATCCGCTCTGCGATGTTGGCGCCACGAGACTGGAGGGCCAGCCAGCGAATCAGCTCGCACACCTCACACCTCCTGGCGCCCCTCCCGGCGCCAGTGCGTTGAGGAAGGCGCCCGGCGGCGGGGCCCAGGCCCGCCCCCTCAGGACAGGTTCCGCCCCCCCCCCCCCCCCCCGGCCCCCGCTTCCCGATCCCCCTCTGTCGTCCGCCCTGGCGCTCCCGAAGCTCCCCTCCTTTGAACTCCCGAGATGGGTACGGAAATTGCACCAGGGGGAAACCCCAACCAGTGGAAATTGCACCAGGGAAAAACCCAAACCTACCTCGCGCATCCACGCGTGTGCTGATATGTCGATGGTGGGCCGCGCCGCGCATGGGCCACCTAGCTCAGACCATATCGGGTCAGCTGGCAATGTCAAGCCACACATGGGCTGCTGTGTCGATGGTGGGCCGCTCATGGGCCGCCAAACTCAGACCATATCGGGCCAGCTGGCAATGTCAAGCCACACGTGGGCTGCTGAGTCGAGGTTGGGCCGCGCAGGACGCGGCACGCGGCCACACATGGGCAGCGTGCGCGCCATGGGCCGCACGGGGGGCCCCCGAGCCAGAGAAACCAACGCCGATCGCGCACAGCCACGCACGGCGGACCAGACGGCAGCGGGGAACGAGACGGCTCCCCCGCCAACACCGCTGCCTGGCCAAGAAGCCAGCGGCCGCACATGGGCGGACCGCGGACGAGAGTGCGGAAGGCCAGAAGCGGCAGACGCGCGAGCAGAGCAACACCAACACCCCTCCCTCCCCTACGGCCCAGCACCCCAACCCCCCCCCGTCCCACGGACGAGGCGAGGGTAGGGGAGCAGGGCAAGCGCAAGAGCAGCATTCGTGCCAGCACACGAACGCTGCGACACCGCGAGCACTGTCCCCGCGTTTGTGTGCTCATAAAAAATCCACACACACACACACACACCACACAACTGGGATCAAACGGACGACCCTCACCCTCTATCGGGGCGGGCCACCACGCCCCAACGTCTTGACGCAAGCCTTCGGTACACAGAACGTCGTTGGGACATCCGAAGGGCACTTGCAAGGAGCCTTGAACGGCAACACCCGACACGATCCCCCCCGCACGCACAACGCTCGCAAAATACCAGCCAACCTCGGCCATCCTTGGCCAGGCCCCTCGGGCGCCGCCCGCCACAACCGCCGCAGGCCTCCCATGGCCCTCCCACGACGGGCCAGCCACGAACACCGCCCGCCCCCCCACCCCCAGAGGGACCACGGGGCCCCCGAGGAGGAGGAAAAGGAGGAGGAAGAGGAGGAGGAGGAGGAGGAGGAGGAGGAGGAGGAGGAGGAGGAGGAGGGGGAGGGGCGGGGAGGAGGAGGAGGAGGAGGAGGAGGAGGACGAAGACGGCCTCGAGGTCCCTTTGTAGCCGAATGGCCGTTTCCAAAGCGGTCTCGGCCGCCTCGGTGGTCATCGGCCTCCAGTCGGGGAGACCAGAGAAAGCGCGGGCGGCCTGCCACTCCTTCAATTCTGTGGGCAGGCGTTGAAGGGAGCGGAAGCCATGCCGCGACCTGGCCCCGACTTTGCACCTCCCGCACCTCCGCTCCTGCAAAGATGGCCTGTGCCACACATCATGCATCGTGGGGGGGGGGGCGATGTCAACCGCTACAGTCACCCCGTACGATAAGGATGCACGATAGGATACAAGGGCTGTGGAGGGCCATGTCGGCACTCTGCAAGCGGGGCGCGGCAAGCGGAAGCGGCCAAGGATGGGCCGAAGGGGGAGGATGCGACGGTAACCTTGGAACGTCGCTCATCCTTACCATGCGGGTTGACTGTATTACAACCGATGGTGGGTTGGCATCACGACGACGGACGACCTTAGAGGGCCCGCTGCTGCACGAATCAAAGTCGAGCACGTGCCCCCCAGCCCAACAACAGAACTGCCAACACTCTTGGGGCTCACGAAAAGCCAGGCGGGACATATCCGGAATGGACTGACCAACCAGCGCACTCCTGGCTTGCCTCGATCTCGGCGCACAAATCTGCCCAACCTTGCCTCAACGCAAATAAGAACGGGGGCCCGTCAAGCGGACCTCGGCACGACGCTTTCTCCACGGATGCATGGGCAGGGCACGGATGCATGGGCGGACACATGGTTGGGGAAGCCCCTCGCCTACCGACTGACGATCTGGCCAGGAGCCTGTGGCCCTTGGACGCCAGGGCCGAACTCCTGCTCCTCTTCTGCAAACCAACGACCACAAACTACGTTGCTCGGATCTTTCCCAACGCGCGCAACACTGCCAACCGTTCGGCCTCACCGACCGTATGGCTGGTTCCTGGCAGGCGCCCGCACCCGGCTCCCAAGGACACCAGCTGCTCAGACCATTGAAGAGGAGGGAGAAGAGGGAGGGGGAGGAGGAGGAGGAGGAGGAGGAGGAGGAGGAGGAGGAGGAGGAGGAGGAAGAGGAGGAGGAGGGGGAGGAGGAGGAGGCAGAGGAGGAGGAGGGGGAGGAGGAGGAGGAAGAGGAGGAGGAGGGGGAGCAGCACCAGCAGCAGGAGGAGGACGACGAGAAGGAGAAAGAAGACGACGCCCCCTGCCCTGCCTCCTGCCGTCCGCCGCGGCCGGGGCGGCCGTCCTCCCGCTCCCGAGGGCCACGAGGAAGATGTGCGCCTGCGAGATGCACAGCATGAGCTGCTCGGCGCGGGGCCTCGGGGCGCGCCGCGAGAGAAGGGAAGAACGCCGCCTCGACCTCCTCCTCCTCCTCCTCCTCCTCCTCCTCCTCCTCATCCGCCTCCTCCTCCTCCCTCCTCCGTCCTCCCTCCTCCTCCTCCTCCTCCTTTTCATCCCGCGTCCTCCTCCTTCTCGTCCTCCTCCTCCTCGTCCTCCTCCTCCTTCTCCTCTCTTCCTCTCTTCCTCTCTTCCCCCTGTCCTCCTCTTCCTCCTCCTCCTCCTTCTCCTCCTCCTGCTTCTCCAATTCCTCCTATTATTCCTCCTCCTCCGCCTGCTCTTCCTCCTCCTCCTCCTCCTCCTAGCCCCCCCCCGGCCCGAGGGACTGCAAGCAGGGGGCAACCAAATGCCACCGAGGTGCTGCCGCCGCGCCTTCGACGCCCCCCAAAGCCGATCTGCTCGGGCGGTCACGCCGCGATGAACCGTCTTCTCCTAGTATGCAGTTGCAACGTGCTGTCGCTGCGTCAGACGGGCAAGTGGCAGGACATATGCCAGCAATTGAGGTCGTGCTCGGTGGTAGGCTTGCAGGGAACCCAATTCTCGGCGGAGAGAGATCTTGAATGCCAGCAGGACAGGAACGGCAAGTTTCGCAGATTGAGATGGCCAAGAGCGACGGGAACGGCGAGGAGACCCACGGGATTGGGATTCGCTTGTTGTTACATGCTAAACTTGTGCAAGGTCAAATGCTAAGAAACCTGTCCTCGCCACCAGGATGGGAAGGCAGAGTCGGAGCGGTAATATGTAAAAGCAGTACCTTGGGTTTTACGATCGTTGGCGGATATGCGCACGTGGAACGTCATGGGGCCTACAAGGACAGGAGGGAGCAGGAGAGAAGAGGTGCAAATATTCCTGGCCGGGACTCTAGCAGCTGCTCGATCTTTTTCCTGCGCGGACGGTGCCGGTGCTCATGTTTAATGCCAACGCTCGTATCGGCTCAATAGTGTCAGAGCCACATGTAGGTGCCAAGGACGCGGATAATGATAACTAACATGGACACTGTTTTAGAGAGCTGTCAGAACACCACGGCCTGGCAGCGTTGAATTCGTTCTACGAGACTGGCCCGACCTTTTATCACGGGTCGGGCGAGCAGACGCCGAGGGTCGACTATGTGTGCGCGCCTACGTGCCTTAGGGGACATGTGGCGGCGTATGAGGTGTGGGGTAGGGCGGGGGATAAACTGCAAAGTATCAATGCGCGCACGAGGCGCGACCATGTCCCGCTAGTGCTCCGCCTAAGAGTAGGCCCATGTTTTGACACCCGACGACAAGAGGCCACGAGTTGGGACAACGACAAAGAGTTCGCGCTGTATTCTTTTCGGGTCGTCGTCGGTAGATCAGTCTCTGGAGCATCTAGCAGTTGAGGTAGTCGAACACTGCTTGCAGAGCCCCGATGCGGTGTACGACCAAGTACATGAGATTGTAATCTAGCACGCTCCTGATGTGCTTACAGCAGGCAGCCTAAGAAAAGTGCTCGCCCGACTGATGCGCAGCAAGCATTGGACAGCATACTCGAATTTCGTCAGAGACTCAGGGAGATTCGCGGTGTTCAGATCCCCTTGTTGCCTCCCGTTCTTCCTGTGGCGCCGCTGCCTGAGTGGACGCTCTGGGCAGGAATAAATATCCAGAAATTGTTGCCGAAGTTTTGTTTAGGCAGGGAATGCGCTGAAGCAAGGCCACGATGATTTCTGTGCTGTGCGCGCCCGCATGAAGAGAGCGAGGCTACAAAGGACGCCGCCCGACTGGAGCTTTCCTGGCGGAGTGTGGCGTCTTTTGATGCTGCCGAATGAATGCAAGTATTATCGGGGGATGCGCCTGCGTTTGATGAGAGCGATATGCATGTTCCCAATATTGGCAAATTCTGTGCTGCGGATCTGCATCTCTGTGCGCCACCATTGGGAGACGCCGCTGATGTGGCACAGAGGCAGGGCTTTTTTTTCTGTGGGTAGGCTTAACGGGAAAAGCGAGTGTAAGGGCCAGAGGCTTGTGCGCTCGGTCGACACCTTCGGCAATATATGCTAAACTTATCTTTGGAAATGCTACGCCCTCCTCATTCGTGCTGCCGGCCGCGTCTATTCGTTCGGCTACCTCAAGGGTCGGCGGCGCGAGTTGGCAATCGTGGCACAGAGCTGTTTTTGCGCGGCACGGCTGCACGGAAGCAAAGTAGGTGGGATGACCCCACTCTCTGATGCGACCAAGGCGTTTCACAGCATACAGCATGCACATCTACAAGCGTGCGTAAATGCATATGACGACGAATTCGGAGCGGGGCTGTTTAAACAACGATTGCGCTGTGCTCAGGTTCGATCGATTGCACGGACGGCGCGCTCGCCGTTGGCATAAAGCAGGGCACGCTACCTGGTGACACGATCGCGTGCAGATGGTTCCTGGGGCCGTATAATGCGCAGTTGGATTAGTTTCGTTATTCGGGTGCCCATAGCGCGTCGGTGCAAGTCCAGTGGTCTCGGCATTGTTTGACGGAGGCACCTGAAGGCAGGCGAGTCCTGAATCAGCTCGCGAGGGAACTCTGCGATACATCGATATTGAGCTTCTCTGACGATGCGGCGAGCACTTCCGCTGTCGAGGACGACGCGACACATTACAGCCTGAGATGATGCTCGCAGTATCGGCACTTAAGCTCACTAGAGGAGATCAGGTGTAGCGACGACTGGGGACAAGCAGGTGTCGCTGGTACAACTGGTGGGGAGAGGGACTCAGCAGGGCATGAGGAGGCTGCTTCGGGATGAAGGAGCATTGCTGGGGCAGGCACGGAGAGAAGCACCATCTCTAGGAGGCAGGCTGCAGATCCAAGGGGGCGTGAACCCAGAGGTCGATTATCGCGTCAAGCACGCGAAGCAGGCGCTCGCAATCTTGGGTAATATAGTTTCTGGTCTGAAGGTACGAGCGACCGGTGGCGATCGGCCATGCTCAAGAGCATGGTGGAGGGAGCTTCATTCGCTTAGATTATTTCGTATTGGGGAGGTGGAGCTGCAGAGGCTGGAGGGAGTTCAAGCGATTTTAGCGAGAAGGGCTTTGCGAAGCAAAGGGTGTCTGAAGACTGCTGCAACGGAGGAACAATCAACAAAATACTGTGCCCTTCCCAATGCACAAATCAGAGAGCAGATGGAACTTCAGACGACATTTCGCCCAGACGCTGTTGAGTGGACTCCCTCCCATATCGATCCGAATAATCCTGGTGTCTCTGATTTTCCTGCGACAGAGCAGTGGGACACCACCGCTGTCTTGGTCAGGAGACCTGCGCGGAGGGCTCTTTCCGAAGCTGCGGCGGCTGTTCCAATTAAGGCCAAGGGCTTACTGGAGGTCCCCGAGAGAGCCCGCTTAGGAGCAAAGAGGGATACGGCTGCTCGCGGCAGTGCCCATTGCGTGTCTACGTGTAGCAAACATTATCGTTGCTCCAGGCGTGGTTGTTTCTCGACCTGGGGCGAACTCCTGGAATGTTGTGCGTCGGATGGTTTTGCCTGACTCGGCCCAGAAGTGGCCCAGCGATGTGGTCGGTTCGGTCCCTGGGCCGCTGGTGGTTTGTGGCTTCACGCTATGTGTGTCCAATCGTCTCGGCTTCTGGGTCCGTGTCAGCATGCATGTGTTTGCCCCGTTGCGGGCGTACAGTCACTGTAGACGGGCGCCAACTTGCTGTTGGCTCTTCCAACCCTTTGAAGAAGGGTCGCGAGAACCTGACCCGTACCGCGCAAGCGCAAAGCCACGCAAGACGGGCCTTGCGGCGGGGAAGGGCGCGAGGTCGCGCTGGCTACCACTCAGGCGTCGGCCAGCCGCTCGGCTGGCTGATGCTTCATCCTCCTCCCTCCCTTCTTCTCTTCTCTGTGCACGTTGTGCTGCGCAACTGCTCCACATGCAACTCCTCCCTTCCATCCATCTTCACGGGTCTCGTCGAGAGGAAGCTGCTGCGGTCGCTGCCGGCCTTGCGAAGGCAACAATCAGGAAGAATGAACGGCGTGCGCCGTCTGCTATGGACTGTCCGCGCAAATTGAGAAAGGCGTACGCGTGCATGTATGTGCATCGACCTTCGCGCGCCCGCGGGCCGATCCTCCACAACCCGTGCGCAGGACCTCTGGGGGCGGGCCGGTGGGGTCGACCGGGGGAAGGAGAGAACCGGCGAGAGAGGAGGGCGGGATCAGATCGACAGCGTGGACACCCAGAGATCCAGACCCCTTTTCTGGGACTGCTTTCTCATCCTGGGTAATTGTTTGACGGCCCCGCGGGGCCTGGCGAGTGCCGCCAGGGGCAGAAAATCATTCAGCCCGCCCGTCGCGATCTTTCCGCCACGGGAGGAGATGAAGCCGCGCCTGGCGCCGAGGTCCCACAGCGCGTGCACCTCGTACACGCCGCGCGCCAGGTCCCCCAGCTGGTCCTGCATTGGAGTAGCATGTGGGGTGTGCTCTAGGGCAGGAACATCCCGTAGACGGATCTACCCTCTCTCCGACCTTGCGGCCATGCTGACTAAGAAACTTCCACCCCGAATGTGTCTTTGTACGCAACGGCACCCATTGCGTCTAGAGACGCTTGTGGCTATAACACGAGAACGGTATTGTTCAGCATGGGGGGAACGGGTGCTGACGGAAACGGGTCCTGGACCCTGGCGCCTTCCCCAAGGACGAGATCTTCATCCTGAGCTGTTCTATGACAGCCACGGGGCCCGTGGAGGGTCCCGTGAGCCTGAAAACGGGGAACAAAGACTTCAGAACCCGCTTCCACCACATGCCGATGTGTGGCATACAGGCCCGAGATATTGGTCTTCGAGGAGCAGGCAGACTCTGCCCTCGGAGTCCTGCAGCTGCGCCTGCGCCTCGTCGTAGGGCTGCATCACCCCGTCGTCGCCTCGGGCGCCCCCAGCCGATCGACGAGGCACGGCCCAGCGCCCGGCCCGGCGCGGAGCGACCCGCCGCCAGCCCGCGGAGCGTGCCCTGGCCCTCCATTCGCCTGCAGCAGGGCTCCCCGGCCATGCTGGGATGGGCGCGGAGGTTGCTAAGGGGATAGGGGGGTGAGCTAGCAGCGGATGCCAAGAAGGGGTTATACCTGGCCTAACCTAGCTCATCAGTGGGATGCCAGTGCCCCAAGCGGACCAGGGGGGGGATAACGATCCAGGCCAAATGGGCTCCGCCCACTTAGCGGAGTTCTCGAATCCCCTAACCCACTTGGGCCATATGTAACCCTTATGCCTCAAGTGGGTTAAGGGATTCGAGAACTCCGCTAAGTGGGCGGAGCCCACTTGGCCTGGATCGCTATTCCCCCCAAGCCACTTGAGGCTTTGGCAACTCACTAATGAGCTAGGTTAGGCCTGATATAACACACCTTGGCATCCACTGATAAGCCCCTTATGCCCTATGGCCTTAGCGTTCCCCACGTCCATTCCGCCCCGCCCAAAACGGCCGAACTGAGATTGTCGCGACCTTCTCACAACGAAGATATTGAACGAGAAAACACATCAATGCTCATCTTTATATTCTCCCCTCCTTTCCCGTAACTTGTGTTCACTTCGTCCTCCTTCCTCCTGTGTAGATACGAAGACTGTCTGGATAACTTCCGGCATACCTCTCTTACCTCTGACCGTTTGCCATGCTCACCACCTCCAGGAGATAGTGGCATGAACACTAATTTGCCGTTGCAGAGTGCTCGTCGCCTAGAAGATTGTTGGAGTCCTCCCTGAGGCCTCGACTCTCCCCTGCCCAGCGCGGCAACGTTGGGGGGACCAGCTCAGGGGGAAAGCATCGATGGTGAGCTTGTTTTCCACCGCCACCACCAGAAGTAGGAGGGGGAGGGCGTCCTCCTCCTCCTCCTCCTCCTCCTCCTCCTCTTCGTCCTCCTCATCGTCCTCCTTCTCATCCTCCACCTCCTTCCCCCCTCCACCTTATGGTGGTGATGGTCGAAAACGGGCCCATCAATCGAGCTTTTGAATCGGCGGTGCGTCGCCGACAGATCGGGGATGCGCGCCCGAATGCGGAACCGCACGTTCAGCAGGTCCCTCTCGGTGATGAATAGTGAATTTGCGATTGGGAGTCGATGCGTCTCCCCTGAGCCTGTCCCCCGCGGTGGTCTCAAGATCATAACTTGGGCCTCTGGCAACCGTTCTGGACGATCCGGGCACCCCGGAAACGCCCTCGACGAGGCGCAGCTGCTGGAAGGCATCTCGAGGCTGGAAGAGAAGTTCAAGAACCCATGCAAACGTCCGACCGCCTCGAGTCCCCCTCCCTTCGGCCGCACTGGCCGCCAACCGCCGCCCCATGCCCCCCTTCGCCCCAACCCGGCCTCACCCCCCCCCCCGGACGCCCTCGCATCCTCGCCAGCGTGGCCCTCCTGGGATATGCACCTCGGGGAGGGAGGAGGGGGAGGAGGGGGGCTAAGGATGTGCGGTAAAGATGCAAGGACCTTGGAGGCCCATGTTAACCTTTTTCGAGCGAGGTCGGCCAGCGAAAGTCGCTAAGGATGGGCCGAAAGGGCAAGGATCCAAGGGTACCCTTGGGAAGGTTGCCCATCCTTACTATGCGGGTTGACTGAAGCCCAGGGGTGGGAAGGCGGAGAGGATGGCGTGAGGGGGGGGAAGGGAGGTGAAGGAGGATGCCCAGTGCAAATCCAAGTCGCATCAACGATGCTGCAATCAACCCTCCTTGCAAATTCCCTCGTTCATGGGTCGAAACAAGAACGTGATGTCATTGCGGATCAACGTGAATGTTGCGTCCTCGCAATGCCCAAGCGCGCCAGAACACATTGCCTGCGACGTCAACACCACGAATTGAAGTTACTATTGCGTCCTGAACATCCCCAATCGTGCCAGAACACAATTCCAGGACATTCAACCATGCGAGCATTCGAAACCGCAACAAACTTTGAAAACGAATGTGCGCGGCGCTGAGGCGAAATTCAGGGGAGGAGGAAGATGATGATGAGGAGGAGGATGATGATGAGGAGGAGGAGGAGGAACAGGAAGAGGAGAAGGAGTAGGAGGAGGAGGAGGAGGAGGAGGAGGAGGAGGAGAAGGAGGGGGAGGGGGAGGAGGAGGCGGAGGCGGAGCAGGAGCAGGAGGAGGAGGAGGAGGAGGAGGAGGAGGAGGAGGAGAGGAGGGGTGAAGGAGGAGATGGATGAGAGGGAGGGGGAGGACGAGCAGCTGGAGCTGCATAAGAGGCGGAGGGGCTCGAGCCGCAGGCCGGCGGAACAGCGGCAGCGGACAGCGACCCCACCCCCCCGCGGATGGGGCGCACCGGGACTTACTAGCACTATGTGTCCCCCATCGGAGGCGTGCGTCCGACCCGAGCACATAGCAGAACCATCCTGTAATAGATCGCTTCCCGATGGGTACGGCCAGAAAGTGCCCGCCACGGAGCATGTCATATTAGATGTCTCGGTGCGCGCGTCGCCCCTGGAAGGGGCGACGCACACACGGTACAGTGGAGGCCAGTCCGAAGAAACCTTCCACGAGTAGCCCAAACCTGAGACCCCAGGGCGTGCATCGATCTCTGGTGTTGGCACGCCACGCTTCCCATCGCAAAATCATCGAAGCCCAAGAAACCCAGGGCACCCCGGAGGCTCCAAGCAGGTGTTTCTTGGCATGTGCCCCCACTGTATTGGTGTGGCGGGGTGGCGCCGAGCGGAGGCCGCCCCCTCCCCCGACCCCCAAAGGCCCGGACCGAACAGCATCCGGGGCAACCTCATGTGCGGGGCCCGGAGCAGCGCCGGACGCGTCCGCTGGAAGGGGCTCTCCTGCGGCAAGGGGCGGCAGGCGGGGTCCTCCTTCTCCTCCCCCTCCTCCTCCTCCTCCGCCTCCCCCTCCTCCTCCGCCTCCTCCGCCTCCTCCCCCTGCTCCTCCGCCTCCCCGTCCCCTTCCTCCTCCTCCTCCTCCTCTCTCTCCTCCTCCTCTCCTCCTCCTCCTCCTCCTCCTTCTCGTCCTCGTCCTCGTCCTCGTCCTCGTCCTCGTCCTCCTCCTCCTCCCTCCTCCTCCCCCCTCCCCTCCCACTTCCCTCCCCGTCCTCGTCGTCGTCCTCTTCCTCCTCCTCCTCCTCCTCCTCCTCCTCCTCCTCCTCCTCCTCCTCCTCCTCCTCCTCCTCCCCTCTCTCCGCCTCCTCCCACCCGTTCCTCCACTCTTCTCCTCCCGGCAGCTGGCCCAGTGGGGAAGCGAGAGGGGGCAGGCCTTCTCAGAAGGCGGCGGGGCTTGTCAGAAGCCCTCGCACCTTCTGAGGAGCCGTCTGTGGCTTCGGAGACTGCTCGCCCGCATGCGTAGCCCCGCAGGTAGAGAAAGAAAACCCGCCATGAGCAGAATCTTTTGGCGCTGCGTTCGGATTTCTTGTCAAGAGCGGCGCCAGAGGCGCCGCTGGGGGGGGCCCAGCGCGGATCCAAGAAATCCGAGCGGAACGCCAAGAGTTTATGTTTATGGCGTTTTTTCTTCTTCGACCAGGGATGTAAGCAAGAGTTCCCCCCCCCTCGTTTGGAAGGCGCCACAATTGAACACACATGAACTTTCGGAGGCCCGCGCGGAATTCTTGAATCGGCGCTGGGCACCCCTGGCGGCTCGACAATAATATTGGTGGATGATGGGCCCTTCGTCCTGGCAATCGCTCGGACGTCCATTCCCCGTGTATTTTCCGATGTCGTGCTTTTGCTTGTTGGGGAGACAAACATGTACCGATACCGCTACTCCCCGGACCTCTCCCAGGGTGCGTTCGGACTAGGATTTCGAGGCGAATCCAGCGGTGGCGACGAGGGCCTCCCAATAGGCCCCACAAAGGGGAAAAACGAGGGAAGGGTAGGGGTATGGGTACCTTTTCCTCCTCCGATGTTTCACCACATGACTCAATATGCTGCTCGATAGCCCTCGCCGAGACACATGCACAGGCCCGAGCGATGCCAAGTGTTAGAGATGCCCCCTCTGGGCGTTTCTCTGGGCTCCTTGGGGCCCTTCGTCCGGGGCGGCCCCCAGCGCTGCTCGGGGCCGCCGAGGGCAAGCTGCGCCACGCAAAGCCAGCCAATGCCGCGCAGTGTGAAGCCAATTGCAAGCAAATCCAAACAATACCAACATGAGAAGATGGCAACTTCCGTTCGTAGCTTCCCCACGCGATAAGAAAGTTCGGCCTTGCCGCCCCTCTCCCCCGACCAACTCTGTCTTGGCCGGAGATAATCAACTCTCAGGGGTGAAAGGGGGGAGATGATTCACTATCCGGGGCGGTCGGTTAAGGCGAAGCAAGGCCCACGAATCCGAGGCAACGCCAAAAACGCCTCCAAGCAGCGCCAGTCAACGCCAGGCAGTGTGAAGCCAATGCCAAGTACAGCGAATCAATGCCAAGTAGTGCGAAGCAAGGCCACCGAATCCCAAGCGACGCCGCACACCGACTCCAAGCAGCGCCAAGCAATGCCAGGCAGTGCCAAACAATGCCAAACAGTGTTTTACATCGCACTGGTTCGGATGTCGCGCTGAGCGATTTTTTTCTCGCTTCACCGAACGGCTTGTTGGGCATTTGCGCGCGACGCCTGGCTAGAGGCCTCCCCAATGGGGTCCGAATAGATGGGGTCGGGGGATCGCGCCGTATCGCCGATGCATCATCGATGCATCGGCGATGCATCGGCGATGCACCGGCAACATCGGCGATGCACCGGCGACGTGGGCCTGGAGAAACTCGGGCTCCGCATCGCGGTGCGTCAGCGATGCATCGGCGACCCAGCGCGAGCCCCCGACCCCATCTGCTCGGACCCCACCTAGGAGCCCAGACCCCCGACGACATGATTTTGTCGCAACGTCGACCCGAGGAGGTCTCGACCCATTCCCCTGGACAGGTCTTCCATCCTGCGTCGTTTTTTGACGGTCCCGAGGGCTGGTTAACTATATATATATATTATATATATATATATATATATATATATGTAAAGAAACCTCTCGTCCGAGGAGGCCTGGGAGGCCCAGACGGGCGGATGCGGCGGCGGCGCGGCCTTGGCGGCGTCGGAACCGATCGTCGCCGAGCTCCTCGACGTGCGGGCCATCCCCTGCCCGGCGAGGAAGGCCTGGCCGGGTGTGCCGCCCGCGTGCCGCGGGGTCACGGAGATCCGCCTTGGGTCCCCCGTGGCCTCCCAAAGGAAGAGGAGGAGGAGGAGGAGGAGGAGGAGGAGGAGGAGGAGGAGGAGGAGGAAGAGGAGGAAAGAGGAGGAGGAGGAGGAGGAGGAGGAAAGAGGAGGACGAGGAGGAGGAGGAGGAAGGAAGGAGGGAGGAGGTGGCGGAGGAGGAGGAGGAGGATGAGGGAGGAGGTGGCGGAGGAGGAGGAGGAAGAGGAGGTGGAGGAGGAGCTGCTGCTGCTGCTGCTGTTGCTGCTGCTTCTGCTGCAATCTGCATCGATGTCCATCTGAGGTAGCAAAAGCTAGTTAATCGCGGGCACCGCAGAGCCTGGGCTTACAACTTGCCAGGGGGCCTGGGGCTCAACAAGGGAACGCGAGGCGTGGTGCCGCTGCTGAGGGCGCGCACTGCGCCAGCAGTGACACCATGGCGCGGGGGTGCTTTTGGGGCTCTATCTGCAAGCAAATTCTCTGGATCCGACAAGACCTGGTACTCAAGGAGCGGCGGTAGGCGAGCGAGGGAACCACAGAGGCGAGAGGAAGCGGAGGAGGAGGAACGAACAACAGAGGCGAGGTCCCTACTCTTTCATATCTCATCTGTTCCGCTGTCCCTATAGCCCGCCCGCGGGCGCCTTCCCTGGAAGCTCCTGGATGCCCGTCGCACGGAGGCACAATGTCATCAACCTGTTGATGTCCACCCACGCGTAGCCGCCCTTCGTGTTCAACTCCAACGGATGAAACTTCAGCTGCGAGGGTTCTGCTTCTTACCCGCCGTTGAGTCCTACTGGCCAGTGCCCCTCAAAGTGGAGCCCCAAACTCGACGTTGGAGCCACTCCCCGCTTTCGCTGCGCATGCATGTCTCCCGCACTGCATGTTAAGCACCAGTCCTCGAAGTCCGCCGGTTGATCTCGCTGCCGCGCCTCGTCCGATCGCTTGAGCGCCCCGAAGATGCAACGCATGGCTTCTGGCTTGCCCTCCGTCGGAGCGCCCCCCAATGTCGTCGGCATCGCGGCGGCGGCGTGAAGATGGGGAGATCCGCGATCGTGACCTGCGCCTGCCTCTTTGACTAATCCATCGGATTTGACTGTGGATGCCTCGATCGCCATAGAAACAGGGGGGCCCGCGGGGCCGTTGGAGTGCATGTCGATTGTCTCTCGCTCCCTTATCCGTGCTTCCAGTCGTGGAAGTAGCTTTCGTTATTGACCCTCTGATCCTCGCTCTCCGCCCTTGCTCTGCTTCTTGCGCTCGGGCGGCTGCGTGCTCTCCGGCGCCTGCATTGATCCCGCCCGCGCCGACATCAAGATGCAGAACGTTTTGCTCTAGCTGCAGCAGTGCGTGGAAACTGGCGGGATGTTGATCCAACCGCGCTGGCGTCGGGGCGGCGAAAAAGCGCAATGGGCGCTGCGTGTGTGCGCGTGGTACTCTGGACGGTGCTCGCGCGCTAAAACCAAATATGCACCGTCTACTCTTGGCCGCCGCGACCAAATGCCACTGGGCTGTGGCTCGATCCGCGACATTGCTCTGGCATCGAATACAATAGTTAGAAAGCGCGGCTATATGGACAATCCCGTCCGCGGCGCAGCTCTGTCTCCGGATCTCTGCCGCGCTGGTTCTGTCTTTTGCGCGCGCCCTCTCGCAATGCGCCACCGTGCTCTTTCGACCCATGAAACCTTCCTTGCGCGCTGGACACACAGCGCCTGGGACGCCGCCTGTGAGATCATCTGGAGCGGGAGGGCTCGCGGCCCCCTCGCGCGGCCCCTGGCCTGGCGGAAGCATGCTACGGGCTAGCTCTCGCGACCTAAGACCAGTAGCATACATGCTTCAAGACGAGCCCCTGGATTCCCCTTTAAACGCGTTTACATGGCTGCCCCCGCGTTCTTCTGACAAATCTGACCCCTCAGAGGCCCCCTCGAGCGACTGTGTATCCTGCCGAGACTGGTTTAGCTATGCGTTAGCTGTAGTAAAACTACTCCGCGCTCACCTACGTCTTAGCTCGGCTGCTGGCGCCTGGATTGCCCTGCAAGTGCTGCGATAGCTTGCTCATGTGCATGCTGATGTGCAACCATTTCTCGCGGCCATGTAAGTCGTCTAGTGGGCAGTCCCGCGAACGGCGCGCCGAATCTAAGATGTCGTCGCACTTCTATATTGGACGGGGCCCGCGCGCGATCCATTCACCTCTGAACGCATGCGCCTCGGAGAACGACTCTGGCGAGTTCGAGGGCAAGCGGCTGGAGTGGGGGCGAGGCTCTGCTCCGACAGAGCGGTGGCGGGAAATGATGAGGCGGTCGAGGACACGGGCGACGGGGACGAACAGGCGGCGTGAGCGCATAAGCCCCCAAGCCTGACATAGCTGCATCTATGATGAGCCCCAAGAAGCCAACCCCTTTGAACCTCGTGGGGGAACTTAGAAGTATACCAGAACATGCCCATTCTGCGCCGCGCCGCGCGCAACGCCTGCATTCGATGTTTCTTCTTTGCGGGAAGAGCATAGTTGAAGTGTTGTCGCCTTCCTAGATGCCTGCCAAGACCTGCCCAGCTATGCTCGCCCTCTTGTCATTAAACTGTCGATTGGTAATGCCTGCCTCTCTGCCTGCTCCCTGTGCTATGTTCATATGTTTGTCGATGTTCGGGGCTCCTCCGCCCCCTGCCAATTCGTCGTCGACTCTGATATTTTCCAACTCTGCGACTGTGGCCGAAAGCTGCGCGCTCGCTCCCATAATCTTGCGTGCGCTAGCATCGGAGAAGAATGGCGCGGCCAGGCCGACGTCGGTGGCGCGGCGCGTCGCTTTGACTTGTCCGGGGGGGCTTCACGCGGAGGGCCCGCTGCCATGGATCTGCATTCGTATAATCGATCGTTCGATGTATTCCCATACTGTATGCTTTGACGAAAGACTCGGTAGCTGCATGGTCGCCAGGATGCGCGCCAGTTCGGTTCGCCATCTGGCCACAGTGCACGCCATCGTCTACGACGAACGTGCTTTTCACAATTCCCCGACATACCATATCCACTCGATCAGCTGGTGCAAGGTCGTGAGGAGGTGCTCCTGCTTGTCCATTGTGTACACAATAGAACTCATTGCTGGCGTAGAGCAGTCGCGTGATGCGATGAACTCCTGCTCGGCGAAGTCGCGCTGACCCACGCATCGGAACCATCGCGGCGCCCTCTCTGCGTCAATGTGAGATGCCGCCGTGAGTCCAGTGAGGGCGCTTCACCCATGGATCCATCAGCGATCGAAAAAATCTCACCGATCCATAAAATATCATGATGGGTATTTCTCATGTCGTGTTCCCCTTGTCGTTGCGCTTCGGCAGTCGATGGCAATGCGCCTGATGCCGCGCTGCTGGAGCTCGTCCAACCTGTCGCGTCGCGCGACGCAATGGGTGCAAGCATTTCTCGAAAGCTGGCGTCTGTAGTTCAATGACCTCCTCGCCCTCCCCGTCGCTCTCAGCTGCAGTCGCGGAGGCAACGCGGTGGCCCTCGCGAGCTGGAGACTGAGCGGGTGTCGGAGAGGCTGCGGGCCAAGGCGCGGCCCCAAGAGGCCTCGCACTCCTGGCCAGGGGGGGCTAACCTGGGATCCAGGACCTGGGCGCCCAGTGTCGGGGCGCGGTGGCGAGGCGGCTCAGATTCTGAAATAGCAGGCAGCCTGAATCCGACATTAGACCCATCGGACTCTGTTTGGCGCAGCTGCCCACCTGCGCTCCGTAATCCTCGACGTCGCGCCTTTTTGCACTGCCGGTTGGGGTGGGCGGGCGCGCGTGGGAGATCTCCTGAGGTACTCCAATCGGGCGCTGATCTCGACGATGGAAATTTCTTGATGGCTCGACGAAGCTCATCAACGTCATGAGGTGCATTTTCATGTGCCGTCTGTTAGTCTTTCATTTCATATTCCGGGGTTCCTACTCATTCAAGGTGCGATGTGTTGCGCCGGTCGTGGCCCGCTGTCTGATTTGAGAAAAGCTGCGTCCGGGAACCTTTGGCGCGCTCGGGAGCTGTACATTTGAACAAAACATGTGCTTCTGCGCCCCCTTGTGCTCACACCTTCTGAAACTTGCCGATCCACTCCAATGCTGATGCCCTGGGCGCGGGGACTTTGCCGCAACGCCTGCCTCGAAGTCCTCTGCGCATGCCCGCGAGAAGTCGTGCCAATCGACGTGCGTCGTAGAACTTGCGCTCTTCCCGTGCCTCCGACAACGCCCCAACTCGATGCGCCAATAATTGATGTATCATATCCCGTTTCCTCTTGAATCGTCCGCTGAGTCGAGCAATGCTGAGGTCAAGGTCGGACTGTTCGCGCTCTCGTACTTTAGCTTCTCGCCCATGTCAAGTAGCTGTCGTCTCTTTTGGCGCAAGTTGAAATTGTCCTCGACGTTATCATTGTCGCCTGGGGTTTCTGTCAAGTGGGTCCGCGCCACCTCGCCGATACATTGCATCAGACCCGCATGTATCAGATCAGCGTTTCCTTCGTATTCCCAATGCTCGAATAAAGGCATATGCGTCTCCGTCAACCTGTCTGATGAGCTGCTCCCTCTGGTGTCCATACACTAGCATTGCATTGCATGCCTCCGCGTTCGGCTTCCTTGGTCCTGCCTATTGATGGACGTGTTCGTTTGAATGAAAGAAAGAATAAGTCGCTGGGTATTGACCTGTGGGTCCAACACATATGATGCGTTGCCGAGCCTTGTTTGCCTCCAGTATACCATGCATTCCTGTGTGTGTTGTAGAGCCGCCTTGGACACAACGATGACATGTATTATTTTGCCAACGTTGGCGGCCACGCCATAATATGTAAGGCCTTATAATAGGTATTTGCTAGAACCGATCCGTAAGCTTTGAGCGTCGGACGTACGATGCGGTAGTTGACGCTGCTATTGTGGTCCTCTATGTTGCCCAGAAACTCGGCCCCGTCGTATCTTCTCCACACGTTGAGATGAGGACCGTGCCAATGATGGGGATG